GCAATCAGCAAAATTTACTTTTGAAATTATTAATGTCAAGCAAAGCTTCGTTTACATGATTTTGTGGAAAAAAAAGTAAAATAACTAAGAAAATAATCTTTCAGCAACATATATGACATCAGTGCATCTCTCTTAAATACTTCGATACTGTCTGATCAATAAATTCAATGATTAGTGGTTTAGACGAGAGTAATTGATCTCATGAGCTTTACGTTCACTAAGCTTAATACCATTGAATTTCATTCGATGGATATATAAATAAACCAATGCCTTTAAAGTGACTAATTCAGATATTAGAAAACAATGCAAGAATCACTAAGAAAATAAGTATTCATTTGATATGATTCAGAAGAAAAATTGATCCCGAGCATGTCGCAATGAATTGACATAAAATAGAAATTTATTCATAATTAATCAGTAAAATGTGAACTGTTTTAATCAGATCAATCATATGCATAATCAGCTGTATTTTAAACATGATCTGTTGTTATATCAGAGTCAAATTCTTCTTTCCAAATATCATTCGTTTTATCACATGATTTTTTCATAGTATGATCATCAATTTGTGGCCATGGAGAATGATTAATAACATAGCCAACAAGACGAATGCAGTCAGCTACATATTTCAATGGTTCTTGCATATGAGAATGCCAGATGATGTCAATCTAAAACAAAAGAAAAATACACGACATAATTAATTAAATAATCAATAATGATATTGTTTTTTGTCTTGTATAATAAGAAATTATTTTACCGCATATGTCGGAGATATAAAAACATTCCCATCTTTCAATGGATATTTAGCTGCCATGTATAAAAACCGTTCATACGATTTTTCTAATTTTTTCATCGCATCGTGTCCAAATCTGAGTTTATGTCTTTGATCCAGATTATGATTAAAAAAACGACTATTACATTTCGGATTTGCCATAAATTGTTTACAAAAATCAAGCCAATTCATATCTATGATTATATCGGCATCCGTAAATGAAAAAGGATTTTCATAATCTTTAGGTATTTTCAATGGAAATTTGTAATATGTATTATCCCAATAAGAATAATTTTCACCGATACAACAGAATGTACCGGAACTATCGTGAGAAACATTTGACTTAGCTTCTTTTTTCTCATCGATTGATGTTAATGGACAATATTGTTCACCAAATCTTTGTTCATATAATTGACAAGTATCTTGAAATGCTTGTTCTTTAATATGTTGTTGAATGTCATTGATTAATAATGAATGATCAATAACTCGACGAAACAAATGACGACAATCGGCTTGATATATTTCAGGTCGAAGTAAATGAGTTTGCCAAACAATTTCAATATCTATAGTAGGAATCAATAGAATATTAGCTGGATGATATGCTTTCAATTGCATAAAACGGTAGTATCTTGTTATCATTTGTTTTAAAATAGATGATTCTTGCCATTGTTTTCGAAATTTTGATGCTTTTCTAATAGTGTTAGAAGTTCAGGAGTTGTCTTGCTAATGTCGACTGATAGTTTGATCATCCTGAAATATAAACAAAACATCGTCTCATTCAATAATTAGAACTTTTCTCTATCTGTATGAGAAACTAGACATCAGAGGTCTCAATGGGCCGAGTCGGGCCAATAAAAACCAGCCCATGGACTATCGACCTCGGCCCAGCCCAGCCCATGTTTTTTTTCTAAAAAAACC